TGAAGGAAGGAAGGAGGGAGAGTGAAGGAAGGAAGGAGGAGAGAGAGAGAGAGAGAGAAGAGAGAGAGAAGAGAGAGAGAAGAGAGAGAGAGAGAGAGAGAAGAGAGAGAGAGAGCAAACGAGCGAGCGAGACACACACAGAGACAGAGACAGATATGCAGGTATTTTTGCATCAGACAATTAAATCAGCAAACCTGTAGATAAGATGATATACTCCAAATAAAGATAGATACATAAATAGACATAATATAGAGATAAGCACCTCACACAGCCATAGGATAGGCAGAAAAGACAGATATACACCTTTACACACGGACACGGCAGAATGGTAGTTAAAAGAAATGGTAGCCTGGTTGGCAGGTGGTTGCGGGCAAGCAGGCAGACAAAGGCGCCGGGGATGGTCAGACAGATTGCCAAGCACTGAAGCAGAAACATAATCAGGCAATCGTGTAAATCGTTAGCAAGCACAGAGATAACCTTGAAAGCATACAGATGGCTTGAGAGAGAGAGAGAGAGAGAGAGAGAGAGAGAGAGAGAGAGAGAGAGAGATGGGGGGGGACGAGAGAGAGAGGGGGGGGGGGACGAGAGAAAGGAAGATGGAGGAAGTGTAAATCAAGTTCTAGGAATTAGGTGATAAAGACATAAAAAGAAAGAAAGGAAGAAAAAGAAGGAATTTAAAATTTAAGAGATTAGGAGAGAGTGAGAGAAAGTGAGACTTAATAGTAAATAATAATAATAACAGATGAATGGATGGAATTAAGCGAGGCCGAAAGAACGACGAAATACAAAGTTTGAAAAGATGTGAACAGCAAATGGTAGATTGACTGAGCAAGATAAAAGTCACGTGAACCGAAAATGGAAAAAAAAAGTTTAAAAAGAGGAATAGTTTAACAGATGAGAGAGAGAGAACGAAGTAGAATCTAAGAATAAAATAATGAATGAATGAATTGTGAATGTATTACTTTCAGGTTTAATTATCTGCTTTATTATCCTTAGGTCGAATGTGAACCCAGGGGGAATGATCGAACTATGAACGTATATTTTCGTAATATATTTACGCACTTATCCCATTTATTCATTTATTTACATGGTGACTATGTCTCTTACTATCTTTAGCTCATCACTTATTTTATTTATTTCATTTTTAAGGTTTTTTTAACGACCTGGAATCATGTGTTATAAGTGTTGCAAAGCGAAGAGGTTTTCACCATTGCAAAGCTTTTTGGCAGGTCGCAATTGCCCATTACTAATGTTGCAACGGCTTATTTAAAGACTTATTCTGTGTTGCGTAATCAGGGGAGGGTTTTTGTCTTATTATGTACCGGAGAAGTCGGTAATTTTGGAAAGTTAAGAGATCATATCTTTTCTCCATTATGCAAAGGGGATCTAGTGAGAAAGTTGAATCCGGGTAAGTTTATATCTTTTGTTGATTAGGTTTAACAAAGGTTTTGCGTAATAATACGAATAGGGTTTATGGGAAGGAACGGTGCGGTTGTCTAGGAGGATGTTAAAATGAGTGACAAATGGTTTGAACTTTCTCAATTAAGTGTTTTTATAAACTACCCCTGTGAAGGAGGCTAGTTACCGGTTAGGTTTTAGCGACAGCGAAAAATGGCGTTTCCGGATAGCTATTTTAACGAATATTTTCAACCATGGATTAAAAAAAAATCCCGGAAAACGGACTTTCAAGTAATTTACGAACTTTCCCGAAATATCGACCGGGAGGAAATACAGCTGGGAGGAAGGGGGAGAAAATAACAAGGTACGAGAGAACAGGGAATATGAAATATGGCGAGGTCCGTCTTCTGAAATAAGATTAGTCCGCGCTGAACCGTCGAGAAAAAGCCTTTGTTATGCGGTGAGGGAAGGTTAAGGGGGTTCGGTGTGGAGCTGCCTTTGTCTGTTCGTTCCTTTAGAATGCAGTAAGACTCTCTCTCTCGCACACACACACTTTACAAGGCGCTGGCACTTGTAGTTGCAATGTGGCGTGTCGATTACCTCTTTGTCTCTTTCCGTGTAAGTGCGTGCGTCATAGCCTTCGCTTTTACGTTTTATAATGAGTTCCGTCTCCGCTTTTAAAAATAGGTATTTTAGAGTTCGCGTATTTCATTAAGGTCGAAGAGAATTAACGGAACACAGCGCTCCATACGCGTTCGAATTAAGCCTCCATCCGGACGATCGGACGCGGCGCAATGCCCTCCCGTCGCCCCCGTGTTCGATCCGGTGTTCCGTTTTGTCATAATTTCGCTCCGGTCCGTGTTTACAAAGTCAGATGGCTGTGTATGCAGGATTTGAACATGTCTTGGACTAACATGGCGGCCGCGCTGGAGTCGAAAACAGGAAGGACAGACGGAGGGAGGGAGGGAGGGCGGGGAGGAGGGGAGGGGGAGGGGGGAGGAGAACAGAGGGTGAAGGAGGGGGGAGAAGGATAGGGGAAGGGGGTGAGGGAGGGAGGGTGAAGGACGGGGAGAAGGATAGGGGAGGGGGAAGGGAGGGAGGGGTCTGTGCTCATCGGGAAACACGCTTTATGGAGGGTGGGTTGGGCGTGTGTGTGTGTGTGTCGAGGCGGGGGTGGGGGGGGGGGGGGTGACGAGGAAGGAAGTAGATGGTGAAACAAGGGATGAAGCAACAAGAATATGGAAATAAAGTAATAGCAATGATAACAGGATCAGAAAGAGAGAGAAAGAGAGAGAGAGAGAGGCAGATAGAGATAAAGACAGAAGCAAAAACAGTAGATAAGCACACAGGAAGAAGGCATTTTTTTCTTCTTTTCTTTTCATAGAGAAAGGAAACATGAAATGAGAAAGAGCACAAACGAATGAAGAGGAGAAAAGAGAAAGAGGGAAAGAGCACAGGCGAATGAAGAGGAGAGAAGGGAAAGAGAGAGAGAGCACAGACGAATGGAGAGGAGAGAAGAGAAAGAGGGAAAGAGCACAGGCCAATGAAGAGGAGAGAAGGGAAAGAGAGAAAAAGGACAGACGAATGAAGAGGAGAGAAGAGAGAGAGAGAAAGAAAGAGCACATACGAATGAAGAGGAGAGAAGAGAAAGAGATAAATAGAGAAATAGGACAGACGAATGAAGAGGAGAAAGAGGAGGGGGGATAATGAAGAGGAGAAAGAGGAGGGGGGATAATGCAGAGGAGAGAAGGGAAAGAGATAAAGAGAGAAAGAGCAGAGACGAATGAAGAGGAGAGAGAGGAGGGTGGATAACGCCGCGTTTGGTTCCCCGCCCGTGACACCTTCCCTTTCGGCTGCAGAGACGATCGCCGGTCCGGTTACGGGCGCGGCTCCGGCCTGCATGGGGGGGGGGGGGCGTCTTTGTTGGGCATGGGGGGTGGGGGGGAGGGGGGGGGAGTGGGTGGAGGTGGAAGGAGAGGGAGATGAAGGAGCGGAAGTGGTGGAGGAGGAGGAGGAGGTGGAAGAGAGGAGTGGAGGAGATGAGGGTGGGTAGAAGGGGAAGAGGAAGAAAAGAGGAGAAGGAGGAAGAGGAGGAGGAGGAGGGAAGAAGAAGAAGAAGAAGAAGAAGAAGAAGAAGAAGAAGAAGAAGAAGAAGAAGAAGAAGAAGAAGAAGAAGGAGGAGGAGGAGAAGAAGTAGAAGTAGAAGAAGAAAGAAAGGAAAAACAAGAATGGAGGAGGAGGTTTGGAAAATACTGAGGACGAGACGACGCGAGGGAGGGAGGAAGAGGAAATGAGAGACAGAGAGAAAAAAAAAAAGAGATGTTTATTGTGAGAGAAAATTAGGATAAAGGATGAGGCGAGAGGAGAGACAAGAAAGGGGGGGGAGGGGGGGGGAGGGGGGGGGGAGTGAGATGACGAGTGCGAGGAAGTCTTTAATGCAGAGGTCTCGGATAACGCGGCGAAAGGGCTCAGCTGGAAGACTTGGATATGGGGGGAGGGTGAGGCAGAGGGAGAGGGAGGGAGGGAGGGAAAGGAAGGGAGTTAAGGAGGGGAGAGGGAGGGAAGGAAAAGGAAGGGAGGGAGGGAGGGAAGGAAGGAAGAAGGAAGGAAGAAGGAAGGAGAAGGAGAGGGAGGGAAGGAGGGAGAGGGAGGGAGGGAGGGAAGGGAGGGAGGAAAGGAAGGAGAGGGAGGGAGGGAAGGAGGGAGGGAGGGAAGGAAAGGAAGGGAGGGAGGGAAGGAGGGAGAGGGGGGGAGGAAGGGAGGGAAGGAAGGAATGAAGGAGAGGGAGGGAAGGACGGAAAGGGAAGGGAGGGAAGGAGGGAGAGGGAGGGAGGGAGGGAAGGAGGGAGGGAGGGAGGAAAGGAAGGGAGGGAGGGAAGGAGGGAGGGAGGGAAGGAGGGATAGGGGGGAAGGGAAGGGAGTGAGGACGGAATAAAGAGAGGGAGGGAAGGACGGAAAGGACGGGAGGGAAGGAGGTAGAGGGAGGTGAGGGAGGGAAGGAGGGAGGGAGGGAAGGAGGAAGGAGAGGGAAGGGAAAGGATGGAGAGAAAGGAAGGGAGGGAAGGAAAGAGGAAGGGAGGGAGGGAAAAAAAGGGAGGGAGGGAGGGAGAGAAAGGGAGGGGATTGAAGGAAAGAGAAAGGAGGAGGGGGGAAGGATAGAAGGGAATGGGAGATGGAAGGAGAGGAAGGGAGGAAGGAGAGTGTGAGAGAGGAAAGAAAGGAGGGAGGAAGGGAAGGAAGGGATGAGAAAAGGGAAAGGAAGGAGAGGGAGGGAGGGAGGGAAGGAGAGAGTGAGAGAGGAAGGAAAGAGAAAGGGAGTAAATCTGAGGGAAAGAAGGAGGAAGAGAAAGAGGGGATGGAAGAGGAGGAAAAGGGAGGGACGGAGAAAGGAAGGAAAAGAAGGGGAGAGAAGGGAAGAGGGAGAGAGAGATAGGGAGGGATGGAGGCAGAGGAGGGAGATGGAGGGAGGGAGGGAAGGGCGAGGGCCAAGGCAAGAAAGTAAGGGAGTGAAGGAGGGCGAGCGCAGGGGCGGGAGGGCGGGAGGCGCAGGGGGGACGCCGGCCGCCGGAAGGAAGCGGGCGGGGCGGGCCGCCGGCGATCACCGGACACGTGGCAGGGCGGCCCGCGGAAGGGCGGTCGGGCGCCCCCGGTCGGGCAGGAGGGCGCAGCCAGGGGCGGGGATGGACCGGCCCTGCGGCCGTGCGGGCGGGGGGGCGTTGCGCGCCCGGGCAGGGAATGGCCTAGCGGCCGCGAGCCTGAACTGGGCGCGGAGCGAGATGCGCGCGCCCTCACAGGCGGCGCAGGGCCGGCACAGGGCTGCGCCCCGGTCGGCCTGAGGCCGGCCGGCAAGCCCGGTCCCGGTGGGGCAGGGGCGGGCGGGCGGCACCGCCCCGGGCGGGCCGTCTCGCGTGCGCGCTGCGTGCCCTCGCCCGGTCGACCCACTTCGGGGACGCCGGCGACGCCGCCCTCTGGCAGCCGCGGCGGCCCCTGGTCCGGCGCCCGGCCGGCCCCGCCAGGGCCGTCAGCCGGGCCCGGGCGCGCGCGCACGTGCCGGGCATGCGTCCGTCCGGTCCGCGCGCTGTCGCATGCCGCGTCCGGCCCAGCGGACTCGCGGCCGGTCCGCGACGCGACAGGCCCCCGGTTGCCCTGGCCACCGATGTAGCCAGCGGGAGTCGGTAAGACCCCATGAAAGAGCCAGAAAAAAGAACGCAACCCACGAAAGGAACGTCCGAGAACATGCCGAGCGAACACACGATCGTAAAGAGCGTTGGACACCGACGCAACGTTAAGACCGGACATATTAATCAGACGCTGCGATGCCCGGCGACCCATGCCACCCAGAACGACATGTTGGCGAGATTGCAAGACGGGCGAGCGAGGGCGAAACATCGTCTACTTAGACCAGTAGCGGTTTATGCATAGTTTCCCGGGTTCCCACACCCACATTTACTCCTTTCTCTCTCTCCTCTCTCTCTCTCTCTCTCAGTCCCTCTCTCCACTCCACCCTCTCTCTCACACTATCTCTCGGTCTCACCTTCCGTTCCTCTCACTCTCTCTCCTCTCCTCTCTCTCATCTCGTCTCCTCTCTCTCTCTCTCGCTCCCTCTCTTTCTCTCTCTCTCTCTCTCTCATCTCCTCTCTCTCTTCTTCTCTCTCTCGATCCTTCTCTCTCTCTCTCCTCTCTCTGTCCTCTCGTCTTCTGTCTCTCTCTCTCCCTCCCTCCCGCCATATCCTCCTCCCTCCCTCCCTCCCAGCCTCCCTCCTCCTCCCTCCCGCCCTCCCTCCCTCTCTCTCCTCACTCTCTCTCTGTCTCTCTCCTCCTCGCTCTCCATTCCTCTCTCTCTCTCGCGCTCGCTCTCTCGCCTTGTCTCTCGTCTCTCTGTCTCTCGCTCCCTCCCTCCTCCTCCATCTCCCTCCCGCCTCACCCTCCCCTCCATCCTCCCTCCTCCTCCCTCCCTCCCTCCCTCTCTTCTCTCTCTCTCTCCTCTCCTCTCGCTCTCCTCTCTCTCTCTATCCTCTCTCACGCTCTCTCTCTCTCGCTCCCTCCCTCCACCTCCCTCCTCCCTCCCACCCCCCCTCCCCCCCTCTCTCTCGCTCTCGCTTCTCTCAATCTCTCCTCTCTCTTCTCTCGCTCTTCCTGCTCTCGTCTCTCTCTCCTCTCTCCTCCTCTTCTCGCTTTCTCTCTCTCTCTGCTCGCTCTCCTCTCCCCCTCTCTCGCTCTCTCTCTCCAGTCGCTCTTCTCTCTCCCCCTCCTTCTCTCCTCCTCCTTCTCCTCCCCTCCCTCTCTCCTCGCCCCCTCTCGCTCTCGCTCCCGCCCTCTCTCCTCTGCTCCTCCCGCCGCCCCCCCCTCTCCGCCTCGCCGTCGCTCTCCTCCCGCCCCTCCGTTCCGCGTTTGCCCTCAGTCGCCCCGCGCCTCCTCGCTATCTCTCTCGCCCGCCCCGCCCTCCATCCGCCCGCCCGCCCGTCCCTCACCGCTCCGTCTCTTCCCTCACTCTCTCCCCTACCCTATCGCCGTCCGCCGCCCCCCACCCCTCGTCGCCCGCCTCTCCCGCCCCTCCTACTCAGCACAATCTACCCCCCCCCGCTTTCCTTTTTGACGAAGTTGCAAACCTACCTAATGGAAACAGCAATACAAAGAGAAAACATTTTTAATGTGTGGCGGTGCGTACGAATGTATGGATGTAATGTACTCGGTGCTGTCCTTTGAAGCGCTCGACTTGGATGTCGTGTTCTGACTTAGAATGAAAACGAACTTAGTTTGGAAATCTCGCTTGAGAACTGGCCTGGTCGTCTGGGGAGGGGGGAGGGGCAGGAGGGTGTAACGGACGTTGTGTTGGCAATAAAAAAAAAAATGGTTAACATTATAGTTAGGTGGATTATTGAGGTGTCATCTATATGTAGGGGTATATATATGTATGTTGTTGTGTGATTGTGTCGTGTAATTTATAAGTATATAATGTAATTGAATATATCATAAGCGATCTGTCTACCTATCGATCTATATCATTATCTATCTATACTTATAGAATGGTTGGAATATATATAATATTTATATTATATATATATCGATCTATCTACAACCCATCCCACCACACACACCACACACACAACACACACCACACACACATCAACCCCACACACACTCACAACATCACACACACACACTCACACAACCACACACACACACACAAATCAACCCCACAGTCTGACCCCGAGAGCACCATCAAACCGAGATGCTTCGCTGTGCTCGGATTACTCAATGGGGACATCCCTTCCCCCCCGCCCCCCCTCACCTATCTCCCCCCTTACCCTCTACCCCTCCCCCCTCCCCCCCCCCTTCCTCCCGCCCTCTTCGCGCCTCCCCCCTCCCTCGCCCCCTCCCCCCTTCCCCTCCCCCTTTCTCTCCCCCTTCCCCCTTCCCCCTCCCCCTTCCCCGCCCCCCCTCCCCCCGCCGTGACCTTTAGGAATGACCTCAGCTCGGAGGCAGAGAATCGGATTCCCTGACTGAAAACCCGGTCTTTTGAAGGTCGAGTGAAAACGGTCCTGGTTTCTTGTGGGGGGTGGGGGGTGGAGGAAGGGGAAGGAGGGGGAGGGAGAGAGGGGTGGGGGATGAGGAGGGAGGAGAGTGTAGGAGAGAGGGGAGGGGGGAGGGGAAAGGAGCTATGTGTTTGTTGTTGTTTGGTGTGTTTGCTTTCTTGTTGTTGCATGTTTCATGTGTTTGTTTTCTGTCTACTCATAAATATTTCATTTTTCTCGTTTCTTTGTTTTTTTGTTGTTGCGATTATTCAGTATTTCTTATACAGTTATTATCGACGTATTTATAATTTCCTTTATTTTTTCTTCCCATTAATCGTTTTACGTATAAAATATCATTAATCCTGCTGTAGTGGAGGAATGCCAACATTATCATTAACAAATAGCATTGTCATTTGGCTTAAAACAAACCTGTTGTCACTGTTATCGTCATCCATATATATATATATCCATCAAGGTCGTATCATAAAAACACTTGTGATTCCAAATTGCTTTTTTTTATAATATCACCGGCTTCAATATCTTCTGTTCCTGGTATGCGGCGCTAATAATAATTTTTATGATTTTTTATGTATATTGCAGTTGCACACCTGCTATTTGTCAGCATTGCAATTGGCTTTCTGTAACATTTTACAGGAAGGTTTTCAGGTTCGACGAACTGTCATCATCATCAGAACAGCTGTTAATTAGACCGGTAATCACTTCCAGTAATTATTGGTTCATCAAATCTTACAGTAACTCACACTCCCCCCTCCCCCCCACCTCTCTCTCATTCTTCCCTCACCCTAGTTCTCTCTTTCTCTCTCTCTCTCTCTCTTTCCTTCCTCTCTCTCTCTCATCTCTTCTCTCTCTCTCTCTCTCTCACGTCTCTTCTCTCTCGTCTCTCTCTCTCTCTCTCTTTCTCTCTCTCTCTCTCTTTCTCTCTCTCTCTCTCCTCTCTCTCTCTCTCTTTCTC